ACAACTAGAGAATAAAAAAGCAGCAGACTCACAGATATAGAAAACAAACTAGAGGTTACTACTGGAGAGAGGGAAGGGGGAGGGGCAATTTAGGATTAGGGGATTAAGAGGTACAAACTATTAGGTATAAAATAGGTTACAAAGATGTATTATACAACATGGGGAATATAGCCAATATTTTATAATAACTATAAATGGAGTATAACCTTTAAAATTATTAATGACTATATTATACATCTGTAACACAGAATATTGTACAGCAACTACAGTTCAATAAAAAAAATCAAATCACAGGTCAAATATTACATCAGTGATAATCTGCAATCACATGGGGAACTTCCATGACCTCCCACCACTTCAATTCAACTACTTGGATCTGTGCCCATTTAATATTCTACATCCTCTTATACTGATGAACTGTCCATTCCCCTACCTAAGGCCAGCCTCCCCCTCCATTGAAAATCATAGCTCTGCAATTCTCTCTTTTCTCCTGTGCATCAATTCTCTCTTTGCTCCTGTGCATCTCACTATTGGTTATTTCCATCAGCAGACAAAACATTCCATTCTTTTTTTAAAAGAAGATGCTCTTGATCCCACATCTTTTACCAGTGATTGCCCCAATCTCTCTCCTCCCTTTGCCTCCCAACTCCATGAAAGGGCTTTCGATACTCCCCATCTCTCACTTGCTTCTCTGATCCCTTGTGAACCCACTCCAATTAGGCTTTGGAGCCCACATCCCACTTAAACTACTCTTCACAAGGCCACCCACAGCCTCCACATTTAGTAAACCCAGTGGTCAATTCCCAGGCTTCATGCACTTGCCGTTTAAAGCATCATGGATTACGTGGTCCCTCTTCCCTGAAAAATACTTATTTTCTAAAATAATTTTTAGTAGTTTTAAAAAAATATTTATTCATTTGGCTGCATGGAGTCCTAGTTGCCGGCACGTGGGATCTTTGTCGTGGTGCATGGGTTCTCTAGTTGGGGCTCACAGGCTCAACAGTTGACCTGGGCAGGCTTTTAGTTGCTCTGCGGCATGTGGGATCTTAGTTACCCGACCAGGGATCCAACAGGAATCTCCTGCGGTGAAAGCGCCAAGTCTTAAACTCTGGATGATCAGGGAATTCTAAAAGATACAAACTTTGAGCTATAAAATAAGTCAGTCATAGGACAGAATACAGAACATGGTAACTATAGTTAATGATACTGGATTGCTGAAAGATGCCAAGAGAATAGATCTTAAAAGTTAATCATCATGAGAAAGACAAATTTTGTTAAGCATATATTCTGACAGTGCTAATTAGACTTTGGGTGGTGATCAATTTGCAGTATTTACAAAAATCAAATCATGTTATACACCTGAAACTAATGTTACATATCAATTATTCTATGCTTAGTCACTCAGTCGTGTCTGACTCTTTGCAACACCATTGACTGCATCATGCCAGGCTCCTCTGTGCTCCACTATCTCCTGGATACTTTGCTCTAATTCATGTCCATTGAGTCGCTGATGCCATCCAACCATCTCATCCTCAGTTGCCCCCTTCTCCCCCTGCCCTCAATCTTTCCCAGCATTAGGGTCTTTTCTAATGAGTAGGCTCTTCACATCAGGTGGCCAAAGTATTGGAGCTTCAGTATTCAGCATCAGTCCTTCCAATGAATATTCAGGACTGATTTCCTTTAGGATTGACTGGTTTGATCTCCTTGCAGTCCATGGGAATCTCGAGTCTTCTCCAACACCACAGTTCAAAAGCATCTTGTATTTATTTACTTATTTGCCCACACCAGGTCTTAGTTGCAGCATACAAAATCTTATATTTACAGCATGCAAACTGTTAGTTAGGATATTAGTTCCCCGACCAGGGATTGAACTTGGGTCCCTTGCATTGGTAGCTCAGAGTCTTAGCCACTGGACCACCAGGGAAGTCCCAGGACACTTCTGTTTAGATGTCTCCCTATGAGACTACTATACATTCAACAGGCCTAATCATGAGGTCACTAACTTCCTCCGGAGCAAAACTCTGGCCCCCTTCATCTATCTTCCACTTTTGTTTCCCTCTGTATCTGCCATACCAAATTTCTCTGAATATTTCTTTTAAATACTAAATCAGATTCCCTTTTAGTTTCACGTATACAGTTTCAACTCATCTACTCCCTCTTTCCCCAGCTCACTGATAACAGAAGATAAGGCAGAGGGAGGAAGTCTCAGCCTCCAAATCTATTTTTACAACTGATAGGGCAGTACAAATGATGTCAGAACATTAAAATGGAACTTCTTAAAGTCCACCAAAGGAAGAAAGAAGTAAGACTATCTGGGACATCTTGGAAACGTCACAGATTTATCTTCTTGTGGCCCAGTTTGATTCCGAAAGAAATCCAGAGATAGAAAATCCATAACTGGGTTTTTGCTTGCTTTATGGAATGACTTAGACGGAAACAGAAACTATGTTTTGACACCTGAAACTAACACAACATTGTAAATCAACTATACTCCAATTAAAAAAACCAACTATGTTTTAAACTTTTACATTTTGAATACCCATAGAAATTTCATGACACCTCATTTTACAAATGAAGAAACTAGCATTCAAAAAGATTAAGCAGAGTGATGATTACACAGCTGGTTACTGGCAGATAGAACTTCAAATTCTGCTTTCTATCAAGCTCACTGTTTTACTCCATCCCAGTACATACATATTCATTCAAGGTATTGTTGCCATATTATATTTGCTCAACTTGAAACTGGTTTATAAACCGAAATTAGCATAAACAACCTAGTTTACTAAGTTTGGAAATTAGCTTAAGTCTGGGATAATATAGTGGTTTCATTTCCTTTCCTCATTTTTCAATTTAAGTTCAATGGGAGAGAGTAATTCATTTAGGAAGTACAAGTGGCGTTAGGCGGACTCACCATCTCCAGAGCAGAAGGGACTCTAGTTAACACTGACAAAGTGGAAAAGACCCAAGTAAATTTGCCAAAAGTAGGAATATGGAAATTGTGCCCACGGCCAGAACAATGGACACAGCTTTGTCAAAACAAAGAACAGTAAAGTGAGGGAAGGTGATTTGTCCAGCCCTTGTGCTACTTCATGGCTTTTTTTTTTCCAGTTGCTGGTTTCCTATTCACTCTAACAAAGAAAAAGATTAAACACAGGATTTAACATTTCACAAGTTTTTATTACCCTTTAACAGAAGCAAAACACTGCACATAATAAGCTGCAGCATTCAAAAATCCAAACTAGGGAAAACCATCAGATAACAACCTCCAATAGCAATGCTACCCAGTTCAGTCCTACAAAAGAAAGTCGTACAGACTCGATGCCCACCATGTGTGTTCCACGCAACCGGAAAGCTTTAACTCTGATACAGACTAGGGATCGAACCCGCGTCTTTTAGGTTTTCTGCATTGGCAGGCAGGTTCTTTACCCCTGAGCCACCAGGGAAGCCCTAAACAGACTAAATTTAAATGTAATTATTCTGAGGGTTATTACTGCTCAGAACTAATCAATATATTTCATACATGACAGAATAACATCTTGGCTTCTGTCTTGGCATCGGGGGAATTATGTCAATGTGGAGGGCTAGGAAACTACATCAGGTATCAGACAGGAGGTAAATTAGCCTTGAATTTAAAGTGCAAAGCTGAAACGACAGGCCCTGAAAATACAGCCACAAAATAATGCCCAGGGGCACTCCTGCATTGAACATTGTGTGGGGTGCAGATTTTTCTCCCTGGCTCTCTGCTCGGCTTTTGGGAGTTGAAAACTGTTTCTCAGATGCTAGGCTATAGGTGTCAAGGACCACCTAAGTCCTTTTAAAGACGTTTTGTGCACTTGCATTCATAATTTATGACACTTCCTTTCCCCCGGTAAGCCAAAAAAGCACTTACTGCCTCGGAGCTTCATCAGACTAGTCGGTGATCCAAAGAAGACATTAAGTGGGTTTTCACTTAGGCTCTAGGAAATCTGCCCCGCCCGCCCCTCGCCAATCTCACCCACACGCCCAGTCACACACCCAATGCATCCACCGGAAGAAAGCTTTTTAAACGAACAGAACACAAACTCACAGACCCAACCCCCCAACTACTAGTTACTCGGGCACACGTTAAGGAGCTGCCAATTTTATACAGAGATTTTGTTTTAAACTCTTCGTAGAAACGACCACAGCTGTGCGCTCCCAGAGCGTTTTCGTTACAAAGCGTGTATGTGGTTTTTAAGACAGTTATTTTTATCTCTACTTCCTACCGTGTGAGGGGGCGGTGCGCAACGCAGGTAGTCAGCAACCTTCGTCACTCGGGTGACTGGGCTTTAAAAGGCTGCATTCACGGGCTTGGGGGTACATATTCAAGCCCCAGACCCCACGCGGCTGGTTAAACTCTAAAGGCCACGGAAAGTCACTTGGACGGTCCAATCTGACGGTTCTTTGAGGGACCTGGGCGTCTGTGTTGGAAAAGGGAAGTTGGGGTGGAAGGACACTTTGCACAGATCCTTGCCTGCTCAACAGACCAGCCTCGGCAGGCGTTCTGGACCACACGTGCACAGAGCAAGCAAAACAAAACCAACCCCAGCTCCGGGCGGAGAGGGAAGCGCCGCGCGATTAACCGAGGGGAGCGGTCACTGCGCTCCGCCGAGTCCCCGCCTGGGGTCCCGGCGCGTGCCGCTTCTCCAGCTCTGCGCACCCTCCTCAGCTCGCCAGCCCTGGATCCGCGTCCCGGGGGCTCCGCACCTGGGCTGCCGGAGAAGGCGACCCTCGGGGGGCGCTGCAGGGCCCGCTGGTTGGTGTTTCTCCCTCCCACCCCCGAAATCCTGTGTCACTTTCCGACTGGGCACTTTCCCAGTGGTCCGCCCTCGACAGGTCCAGGTCTCTCCCCGCATCAGTCTCCTCCAAGCGCTGTCTTCTCAATCCCCCATCCCCACGGCTCCCCTAGCATCACTTCCCCCCACCACCACCCCCGACCCAGGGCGGGGTGGGCGCGCAAACCCAGCTCCCCCGGCACTTACACGTGGCCACAGCGGGTCCGAACGGGGTGGTGCAACACCTCCAGGCACACGGAACAGTCGAAGGACGTGACGGGCAGCTCGGGGTCCCCCCGGCGCTCCAGGGCCCGTGGGGTAGCCGAGGCGGTCGCGGATTTCCCGCTATCGCTGCTCAGCACGGAGCCCATCCCTGCGCCTCCGGCCCCAAACGATCGCCAAGAGCTTGGTGCCTGCGGCCGGCTTGTTTTGTTGTCCTGCGGTGGAGGAAGGAAGTCCCGGCCCAACTGCGATCGCCGCCTCCCCGCGCGCCCAGCCCGCGCAGCCCGGGAGCAGCCTCGGTCGCTGCGCCCAGCCTGGCTCTACGGCAGGCCGAGTGTGCGGCCGCGGCCGGAGTGAACCTCCCTCCGCTCGCTGCCCTAGTCTAGGCTGGGAGGCGGCGGCGGCGGGGAGCACGGGGCACGCCAGAAGTCCCCGGGCCCTGGAGGATTGAAATCTGACACCTCAACTGCAGAGCCGGGGACCTGGGCTGGCGGCGAGCCTCGCCGGCAATCGCGCGACTCCTCCTTCCGAACCACTAGAGCGAGTGAATGAAAGTGCGGGCGTGGTCTTGCCTGAACGCAGTCGGGGAACACCCACTTGTAAGGTGATGGTCCTCTCTGCCTTGCAATGTTCTGATTACTGCTGTAGCCACAGAGACGATCTACGAGCGTCTCCTAAGAAAGTGCTAGTCACTACTTCCGTCATCTAATCAACACTCCGTAAATGGAGAGGTAGCAAGCAGTAGTGGAAAGAGTTCTTGGAGCCGAATAGAGTCCCAACTCTAGGACAGGGATTCCAGTGCTAAGTTCTAGGAGCGTCCACAATTTCCTCACCTTAGGATGTCCTGCTGTTGTTTGTACTCCCCCCTCCATCCTCTTTTGAATATTTATGACCAAATATATTCGTTATTAATTCACGCATTTAATAAAACTTTAGTGCCCACTGCGTGACGGTCTCCGTCAACAAGCAAACAAAAATCCCAGTTCTCACAGAACTTACTTAAAAAGCATTTGGGGGGAAGATAATCATAGATTCAGGGCTTCCCAGGTGGCGCAGTTGGTAAAGAATCCTCTTGCCAATGTAGGAGAGGCAACAGATGCCGGGTTCCATCCCTGGGCCGGGAAGATCCCCTGGAATAGGAAATAGCAACCCACTCCAATATTCTTGCCTGGGAAAATCCCATGGACAGAGAAGCCAGGTGAGCTACAGCGCATGGGGTCTCAAAGAGTCGGACACAACTGAGCAGGCACGCAACAGCAACAATTACAGATTCATGTTCTTATTAAAAGAGAATCCATTATAACACATAGTGTGCATATGCAATACACACATACAATAATAAACAATAATCCTATACACTTCACCCCGTTTTGCCCATATTTTACTTTTAATGAGGCAATATAAGGAATCAACAAGTAAATAAATAAATGAACTTGTTCATTTCAGATAATAAGAGCCAAGAGGAAGATGGAACTGGGAATGAAGATTGGGGCAGTGAGCCTAAGAAGGTCAGGGAAGACTTTTTGGTTTCGGTGATATTTGAGTAGAGTCATGAATAATGAAAAGGAGCCAAACACTCCAAGATTTAGGGAGAAACTTGCTAAGCTCTGGGAATTGTGAACCAGGCCAGAACAACAATAACAACCAGCCCAGAAAGAAGGGTGTGGAGCTGGAGCATGGGGTGCTAGGAGTGTAAATGTGATGAGATGAGATGGGAGACAGGTCTGATCATACTCAGTTTTTCAGGTCAGAACCGAGAATCTGGGTTTTATTCCAGGTGCTGTGTTTGATGTACTCTTGACTGCTGTGTGGTTTGGAAAAGACAAAAACAAAATAAGAATGGAAGCAGAGAAACCAGTTAGGAGGCTACTGAATGAGTCCAAGTGAGGATAATAGTGGCAGAACCAGGGGCTTCTCTGGGTAGTAGGTGAGAGATGGACAGGTTTGGGATATATTTTGACAGAAACCTAAAGGGGCTTGCTGAGAAAATGGATACAGGAGTGAAGGAAAGATAACTATTGTTTTCTGTAAAAGAAAAAAACCCTCCTTTGATTCCCACCTGTCCCTCAGCTCCTGTCCTATGTCTTGTTGACCGGATTCTCTGCTTTTTTATGTCTTTCTTTGTTAGTTACCTCCTAATGCAGTCCAACCTGGGTTCTGAACTGACCACCATTCTACCTTCATCTGTCTGAAAACCATTTCATTATCAACGTCACCAGTGGGTGCCCTTTATGTGGCTCATTTTAGTCTCTTTCTTGCTTCACCTCTCAACCATATTTGTCAGTGTTGACTTCTGCCTCCTTAGAGAAACATGTTTTGGCTTGCCTTCTCTCTTTCTGGCTGTTCTCTCTCAGTCTTCTTCTCTGGCCTCCTCTGCTCCATGGAAAACCTAAGTGCTGGAGATGGTAGGATTCTGTCTTGGGATCTTCCCCCTTCTGATCATTTATTCCCTACCAAAGAATCTCAAAAACCACATCCATTCTGCTACTATCTAGGTGGCAAAGTCTTTATCTTTACTCTAGGCACTCAAATGCCCAACTGCTTACACGATATAATCAGCCCATTGCTTCAGACACCTTCAGCTCAACACAGACAGTAACGCACTCACCTCCAGCTGTTTATTCCTCTTAGTAAATGGCACCATAATCTACCTATTAGCTCAGTCCAGATACCTGGGAGCCACCTTTGATTGCTTCCTCTTCTTCATTCACATTGAATCAATCCCAGTTATGATTCTGCTTCCAGTAAATCTCTCAATAGTTCTTGAATTGTTTCCTTTTTTCCTCTATTCCCATGGCCAGCCACCACTTACTTTAAATCATTACATTCTCTTGTGTGACCTGATGCAGTAGTTGCTATATGCTCCGGGCTTCCCCGGTGGCTCAGATGGTAGAGAGTCTGCCTGTGATGTGAGAGACCTGGGTTCGATCCCTGGGTTGGGATCCCCTGGAGAAGTGGATCCACCTGCATCCCCTGTTGCCACTGTCCTATCTCTTATCCACATCGCAATTAAAATGACCTTCTGGAAAGCAAGTATCTTATGTCACTCCATGCTCAAAAGACTTAAATGGCTCTCCATAACCCTTAGGATTACCTTTCAAATCCTTAGCATGATCTTCAAAGCTCTCCATGATCTTACTCCTTCAATAACTATAATCAGTAGAATACCTCTGCAACAGGGAATAGAAATTCAACAGAAATTCAACCTTAATCAATAAAGATATTTATTATCTAATATGTAGATCAGTCCAGAGAGAAGCAGTTCCAGAGCTGGCTCAGCAGTTGAAAGACGTCCTCAAGGTCTCAGCCCTTTGCCATCCCCCACGTCAGTAGTGTCTTCCTCATGCTGAAAGATGGCAGGAAGTGCTCCAATAACTGCATCTACGCACCACAATCTCTAAAAACAGAAAGGAAAGATAGAGTTTCCTTCTTCTAGCTCCTTCTCCTTTTAAGTGGGAGGAAAACATTTCCTGGGGGCCTTCTGTAGACTTCCCCTTATATCTTATCGGTTCAAACTGGGCCCCATGACCATTCTTAAACCAGTCAGTAGCAGAGGACCAAAAGGGTATTCTAACTGGCTTAAACTCATAATATACTACATAGGGCTTGGCACTTCACTTCTTTGAGCAATACAATTAGGGTATCCTTATCAGGAAAGAAGATTAAGAAATTGGGTAGGCCCACAATAGGGCCTCCCAAAATAACCATTTTGTCTCCCATCTTTCATTCTCTCCCTTATTCTGTATGGTCCTAAATTTCTCTGCTTCTTTCCGTTCCTTGACTGGGGTGGTCAGAAAGCTGTTTCTGATCTCAGGGACTTTATACATGACTTTTTTCTCTGTTTGAACACTTTCTACCAACACCCACCACTTTCAACTCCCTCTAATTACAACCTCACGTCTTAGTTTGGTGACTGTCATTCAATACTAATATCACAAGGTAGATAGTATTTGTTTCTATTTTATAGGCTCCAAGAATTTAACTTAGCAAAGAGTACACAGCAAATATGTGGCAGATCAATATTTTAATCTTAGATCTTTTATTTGTGCTTTCCACTAAGGTACTTATGTAGAGATGAGAAACACTGAGAATCTTAGAAAAGAATAAGACAAACATTAGATAAATTAAGGCAGGAAACTGGGACCTGGGAGGACAGATGAAAATTAAACAGCTGATATTTATAAGACTCTTAATAAACATAAAATTGACAGTAACGATGATGATGGAATTAGGCAGAGAATAAATTTACAATCTAGACTCTAGGCCCTGAAAGGGATCAGAAGCATAACACATTAGTAAAAAAGAAATTTGAAAGCCCAATAATCAACATCTCCGGTATCAAGAAGTCTGAGAACCTTTTAGTAAACCTAAACGAGAATACAATTGCCAGGAAAAATACATGATTTACTTATCTATTTCTTTGTAGGAGTGATGAAAGGAAATGAATTTACAATTTCAAGTGGTGTTGAAGATATGAGAAAGACATGTGTATACTCATTTTTTTTTGGTAAAATTTTTGTTATAGATTTATTTGATATTGGAGTATAGGCAATTAACAATGTTGTTGTGATAGTTTTAGGTGGACAGCAAAGGGACTCAACCATACATATACATGTATCCCTTCTCCCCCAAACTCCTCTCCCATCCAGGCTGCCACATAACACTGAACAGAGATCCCTGTACTCTATGGGGTCCTTGTTGGTTATCCACTTTAAACACAGCAGTGTGTGACATGTATATATTCTTTGCAGTTTTTTGTTAGTACCAAAAATTTAGAGGAAACATAAATGTCCATAATAGGAAAATATTTTCATAAAGTATGGTACATTTACTTAACAAACAGATAAAACAACATTTAAAAATGTGGAGCTTGCTGTTTTTAGGCCTGTTTGCAGTATTTTTTGTTTGTTGCATGTAGGTGAAATGACATGGATGTTTATTACAGTATTATTTGTAATAGCAAAATACAAGAAATACTTTGAATGTTCACCAATAAATGACTGAGTAAATACATGATAGTACATTTTACAATGGAAAACTATGCAGCCACTGAAAAAGAACAACAGGACTTCCCTGGTGGTCCAGAGGTTAGGACTTGGTGCTTTCACTGTGATGACCAGTCCTTGGTTGGGGAACTAAGATCCTACAAGTAGCATGGCGTGGCCAAAAAAGAAAAGAAAAATAGAAAGAAAAGCAATTCTATAACTCTCCTCAAAGGAAGCACTCCAACATGTATTACTGTGTGAAATAGACTTTAGGAGCACAATTATATGTACTGAATACTATTATTTATATATTTTAAATGTCTTTATGCATACACACACATATACATATGCACACATATATGGACTTATATAAACATAT